GTGGTCTGCGAGAGGAAGCAGAGGGAAGGAAACTTGTTGAGAGCAGCGAGGGATACAGGAAGCTGGAGAGCCATGATCACCTACGTCCTGAAAGGACATGGCATATAAAAAGAAAAAAAACGAAGGATACAGAAATACAAAGCACATGTATTGGATTCAGATTATTCACTTTCATTGACGCAGTCACACACGGAGAAGGTCTGTATGAAGACCATCACTTTCGTGTCAGCCATCTGAAATAGAAAATTATATTATGTAGGAGTGACAAGATTTTCAGACCACCCGGTAGATCGTTTTTTTGTTTTGTTTTGTTTTTTTTTTTCGTTTTTTTTTTTCAAAAAGTGGATAAATAACTAGTTTAAATGAATTTTTGCAGCCTTATAGATTGTACGTTTTCTGTCTGAAAACTTGTGGCACATGAGGTTTCGATGAAGTTGAAAATTCTTCTACAGGGTTGAATGATTAGACCCACGCTCAAAATCTTTACTCCGAGAAAGATTTATTTTTTTTCTCCCCTTAGACGACTCCGTTTTAAGAATTCGTATATTTTCCTTCTCCTATACTGGTTTCCACTCAAGAGCTCAGTTTTCTGTATTATTAGCCCAGAGTTGGATTGGAGAAGAACTGGATTCATATTTCTCGAAAGTAATTTAGAATTCGCAATCTGCTCGCCATTTACTCGTTCCTATCCGTTAACCATTACACCACAAGCACGCACGCGCGAGCGCGCACACACACACGCATATATATATATATATATATATATATATATATATGAATTAATTTAATTAGAAAACATACAACATTAAGGGGCCATTGATTATATTTAATTTCCCGATGAAGATGTTTTTTCCTGGTTCCTCAGATCACATTTCCAAGCATTAAAAATGGTTTTAAATTTACGTATTATTTTTTATACACTTTTGGTGGGTATTTTTCTGTTTTCTAATTAAATAAATATTTGCTCTGGTTAGACATTGAGCTCTCTGGATTAAATCTTCCTTGGGATTATCCATGCATCTTACCAAACTTTTCATTCTCTCTCTCTCTCTCTCTCTCTCTATATATATATATATATATATATATATATATATATATATATATATATAGTCCAAGTCGTGTAACAGCAAAATTGTCTATTTGTTAGATTAAGTCTTGAACCGTTTATCTTAGAAATGATTAAATATATCTTAATGGAAGTCTCGGTGGTTTTTCTAACACTATTACACTCTACATTGATCAATAACTATGTATAATTATTATCTAAGCTCAACAGAAGAATCTTGATGAGATCGATCATAAACGAAAATCATCCGTTCATCATTAATTAATCATAGCTAAGAATTGGAAGCTCATGAAGTATTGAAATAAAATTCCAATATATACATATTATTCCAGGATCATTTTCCATCTTTTTCAAGATGATTTTCGTTCTCTCTAATCTCCTAATCTTCTGTCCTGGTGTAACAAGGTGATTCACAGCTTTCACGTACGATTTCATTTTCAAGTCTTTTTTCATTGCTCTATGGACTGTCATAGCTAAAACTTCTTTCTCATGTGTCAAACGTCTTATGGATGGAGTTGTATCTTTTCTAATTGATCTCTTTAGATCTCAGAAGAATGCTTGTGAGATTGATCATAAAAGAAAATCACATGTTCATCATTAATTAATCATTAATCATAGCTAAGGATCGGATGCTCATAAATAAGTGCTGTATATATATATATATATATATATATATATATATATATATATATATATATATACTCCAAAATTCCCTTGAGGATGAAATGGAACTAATGTCTTTAATTTAATTACAAAATTAAATTCGAAGCTTTCAGCTTCCATTTTTGAAACATGGTTAGAACTGTGTAGCGATAAAAACATATTTTAAATCAATTAATTTATAATAATATATATATATATATATGAACACATAATCTGTTTATATATATATATATATATATGAACACATAATCTGTTTATATATATATATATATATATACATAATCTGTTTATATATATATATATATATATATATGAACACACAATCTGTTTTATATATATATATATATGAACACACAATCTGTTTTATATATATATATATATATATGAACACATAATCTGTTTATATATATATATATATATATATGAACACATAATCTGTTTATATATATATATATATATATGAACACATAATCTGTTTTTATATATATATATATATATATATAAACACATAATCTGTTTATATATATATATATATATATATATAAACACATAATCTGTTTATATATATATATATATATATATATATATATATATATATATATATATGAACACATAATACAGCAAATATTTATATTAACTGCGTTACTTTGAATTATTACTTCGCTAATTATTTCTGTAATTTATCACAGTAGATTAAATAGTAAATCCATTAGTGCGCTACTTAAATAAATGCACACACACACACACACACATAAAGTGAGAGAGTGTGCGTGTTTTGTTCAACAGAGCATGTGTGTATTTTGTTCAGAGCATGAAAAATTAACTTTGGAACAATTGAGGATTAGAAAAAATTAATAAGATTAGAAAAGTAATATTGTAATTTTTCAAGTAATCGAGTCGTAAATATCGTTTACGAGGTAGTGAAGGGGATAAGTGTTTTAACTTTTGGTGAAACCAAAATAGAAATGTGGACACTTGTTACTGTTTGGATGTGAAATTGCTATTGATGTTTCAGAACGAGTGGTCCCTAATTTTTTTATAAACTTTGAAACTTTATCGGATTCCTTGATGTAATTAAAATAATTTCTGAAATATGAATTTTCTGGGGTTCAGTGATTGTTTCCTGTACAGTTTTCATAATTGTAAAACGTAAACGGAAGAAAGATTTTTAGTTACAAAAAAAGTATCTAGCTTTGTTTTTTTTTTGTTTTTTTTTTATGAAAACCAGTTTAATATTGTCATAATGATAATCCTTCACTGCAAAATATTGCTACTAAGTTCTTAGCCTGAAACATAATTATTAGTTGGATTTTGATCTGAAACTTTTAGTGTATAATGCTAAAATTACATAACAGATTTTTTATATAGTAATTTATTCTACCTAGATTTTTTTATATAACTACGTATAATATACTTACGTTCTTAGCATACTCTTGTCTATAATAGTGACATAGCACGTATATTCAGTTAGTTTAAATCCTTAATACTCACCGTAAAATCTGGTATTAATTCCAAACATGAAAGTAAAAATCCTGTATTAGGAAAGAAAATTCGTTATTATTTTGTTATAGTTTTTTTTTTTTATCATTACCCCCCGCCAACTTCATACTCCCCGGCCAGAAAATAGAACGGGGTGCATTATTGGGTTAATTTGACTATTTACATGCGGTTATTTGACGTTGTGTTCTGAACATGACTGTTTTTTCCTTCCCTTTTAGAGAGACGCTAATAGTGATATAGATGCAATAAGACTAATAATGATGACAATGTATATTTAGCAGAAAGTGCCAAATTATTAGATTAACGGTGGCTTGCAATTGCAAATTAATTAAAGGTCAAAATATTTAGGAATCAAAAGATTAAACACAATATTTTTGCGCAATTAATTCTGGTAAAAAAAAAAGGAATTCTATAAAGTCTAAGAAAGCAAGCAATTTCGATTAACTCAGATTCTATGTTTAATTATGAAAATAGAAATGCACAGGAAATGACAAAGCTAAATGAAAAAGGATCTTTATAAAAAAAATGGCACTTCAGTTCAGGAAGTGATCGTTCATGCCCACCCACCCCTTTTTCGCTATACGTTTATGCTCACATTTTTGGAAATGATAGTGCAGGGGTTTCCTCTTGCCTTCTTCCTGGTTAAGAGTACCAGTGTTTTCCTCTCTTTATGTCTACGCCGCTATTTAACGCATAGCTGGGGGGGGGGAGAGAATGGATGGATTCATGCTTTTCCCAATCATACTAGTGCGAAATAGTACACACCAGACTAGCTTGTAATTTGAATTCGGCCTGATGATTCCACTTTGCACTAAAATCCTGAAAAAGGATTAAGGCAAGAAAAATAAGGAATAATTTTGAGACATGAAATCAAATGGTACATAGTTATGTGAATATATATAATATATATATATATGTGTGTGTGTGTGTGTGTGCGCATGTTTACTTGTAAATCAACTGGGAGTTTGAATTGCTGACATTGTTTATTGAAGTTATCTTCCATTTTAAGAGACAGATCGATGAGTCTCACCTAAAAGAAAAGTCAAGGTTCTGAATAAAAAAAGCAATTTCCAAAAAAAATCATAGAAACCTCTTCTGTTTGAGTAATCTTGCAAGTTTTGCCAGAAGCGAGTGATAAAAATTGTCTTTCTAAATAATGAGTTCACTTATTTAAAAACAAAGCGTATTCAAGTGTAAACGTAAACGCACACAAGTTATATATTGACATTTAACACATGTGTAAACAATGAATGAGTTTTCTTAACACACAATACGTCGAAATTATAGGCAGTAAATATATAGCCATAGCAATTCATAAATTCAAGTGAGTATATACACAACAATGAAAGCAAACTAAATCTAAACAAACAGAAAAGTATGAAGAGAAAGTGAATTCAGCCAAGAGGAAAAACTTGGAGACTCTTTCGATGTGATAAGTGTCACTTCAGTAGTCGAGCAAACAGCTGTCAGAAACATTTTGAAATTTGTCAAAATTTCAAACGAAATAATGATATATATGTAAGCAAAAAAAAAGATGAAGTTGAATAACACTGGAAACAAAAATAAATATTAAAGCGTAATGAATATATGGATTGGATGAAATACTGGCTTGAGGTTTTTGTAATTTGTTTTTTTATTCGTTATTTTCTGTTGCTTCATTTGTTTACAACATCTGAAATTCTTAGTATTTTGCAAGGTAAATAGAATTTTTAAAACATTACTTTTCTTGTAAACAAATTTTCATCTCTTTATTTTTTTTTTCTTGTCCAAGTTCGTTTAGTTTCGGAGCCTTTTTATTCTCTGTTCATTTATATCTGTATACATTGGCCCTCAGCTTCGTTTTTCTTGTTTGATTCCTCTTTCTATAAAATCAACAGAACGATTCTCATTTCGCGGGCTCGCTCTTCTCTCGTTACTCGCACTCTTTCTGTCAATGTCGCTTGTCATTTGGCTTTCTCTCCTTTTACTCTTCTTTCTTTGCTCTCCTTCTTTCAACGTTCTCCCCTCATAAATAACATCGCTATTGAGATCTTAGATAATTTTCAAAATATTTCACAATATGCTAGTGTTCTCTCAGTAGTTAATGTATAAACTACTCAGAGAAAGCTTAAGCCTTCCGCTTTTCATCTCAACATATGTAGAGTCATGTAATATGGTAAAGAGACGCGAAGAACCACAAAAGACGAACCACAATTACCTAACATTCAACCTCACCAGTAGAAAATAAAAGGGACACATTTAAAGTTATAATTAAGTTTCAAACTAAAGGGTACCCTACAAAAAAAAAAAAAAAAAAAAAAAAAACAGGAAATTTTAAATTTATCATATAATCAAAAAAAAAAAATTAACTATTATATAAAAAATAACTTTTAGTTTGAACACCACATCTAATTTTTTTTGTTCTAAGCTACACAATTTCTATCGTTTGCTTTTGTTTAAAATAAATGTAACAAAAAATTCCAATAATTAAATAAAATAAACTAAATTTTCTGTTTTTTAATAAGACACCCTGTATAAAAATTAATTTAATCATAGCAATAAACGGTGGAGTAATGGATAGCGGCTCGGACTGAGGAATCGGGGTGGTGAGTTCGAATTACAGGCGAATCCATTGCATTCACTTACGCGCAAATACTCTTGGGAAAGCTATGAATCCTCTTCTTCTCTCCCCAGCTATAGGAAAATAGCAGGACAGACCGGGTTCTATATCCTTGGATGGCAACTGGTCTAATGCGAAAAGAAATGTGCAACCTACTACAGCAAAAAAAATCTGCGTCGTAGGTCATGTATCAAAAGATACATGATCGCCTAAGCATGTGTCACTCATGACTGAATAGTTTGTTTATTTGTATTTTCATCTTTTGCAATAGGACTCATCTTTTGTGATAACGTTTTGGTGCTTGTGCTATTCGACCTTATTCCTATTTATCGATATTTGTAACCATTAGAGAATCGTTGACTCTTTTATTCACTGTACAGACGTAGATTGTTCTCGCCTCGTGGTCCAAATCTAAAAGCATTTCGTCTTGGTTAATCCAAGGAAATCGGAATAAAAACAATCTAATCCCACTGATTGTAGAAAGGGTTCATTTCGGAATTTCTTCAATGTTATCCAGATCGCAGACATCAGAAGCAGCTTCGAGAGTACAACGGTCGAAATGTTGTGATTGTAGCAATAACTATGAGGACATATGCCCGAAGGAAAGAGAAATAAATAACTTCTTCATCTTTATATATTCGTACAGAAATTGTAGTCTCACATCTAAAACGACATCAAACATTTTGCTGGTCAATTTATGACAATGTTTAATCAATCTCTTCTCGTGATACTTTTGGGAATATATCTGTATATGCCTAAAAATATTTACTTACTCTGACTTAAATTTCGCAATGCCTGGACAATATATGAACGAACAGAGCCATATGGATAGGTATTTAAATGCGATCCAGTTTCTTCAGACTAAACACCTATTGAGAAATACATATGCCTTCCGTTTGTATATGGCTGCTATTAGCATAGTGAAAAACCGTTATTTCTTATTTTTTTGTTCTTTTCTCTATTTTTTTATTTTTTTATTTTTTTGTGAGTCTGTAACAAGCAGAGCAAAGGCCGCACGGATTTTATATCACTTTACATGCAGTTAAGAATGTGTCATTTTGGGTTTTGTAATAGAGAAACAAGAGACGCTCTATCTCGATTTCAACGTGATCCATACCCCGGCAGTTCCCGCGTTTTTCGCCCCCTCAATTGATACCCATCTCTATGCCTCCCGCATAGCTTCGTGTCTATCATTCCATTATATTATTCATCCGATACATGTTTCTCTTTCCTTCTGTCATTTCCGCTGTCTCTCTCTTTTTTTTCTTCTCCTCCCTCTCGTTCAATTTTTGTCTTGTACATCAAGAGGCAAGAGAACTGAAACTGTCTTTATATTCCTTGTGAGATAGCTATGAGATTTTACTAAACACCGTTTCCTCACTCAATTTAATTTAAAGCAATAAATTTGTATTCTATGTCGGATTAGCGAACATAAAATATTCAGAACATTAATTCTCAGATAATTACTACCAATTATAGGTTTACCAGAATTTATTTTAAATCCGAAGTTGCATTGGAAGAGCCAAAGTTGCCTTTAAAAATTAAATAAAATACCGAAAAAATTTGGTTAAAAACAAAGGAAAGTGCTAAACTTCTCTGTAATATCAGTCAGTTTGTGCCATGAGTGATACACGCTAAGGCGATCATGTATATTTCGATACATGACTGACGAGGCAATTTTTTCCCGCAGTAGGTTGCCATTTATTTCTGCGGTACACCAGTTGCCATCTAAAGCTATACAACTCAGTCTGTCCTGCTATTTACCCATAGAGGGAAGGAGAAGAGGATTCGTACTTTTCCAAAGAGAATTTACGCGTAAGTGAATATCAGTCAGTTATGTGTCATGCGTGATACACGCTTTGGCGATCATGTATCATTCAGTACATGACTGACGAGGCAGTTTTTTCCCGCAGTAGGTTGCCATTTCTTTCTGCGGAAGACCAGTTGCTATCTAAGGCTAAGTCTGTCCTGCTATTTACCCATAGCTGGAGTGGGGGAGATGAAGAGCATTATACATTTCCCAATGGTATTATCACGTAAGTGAATACAATGAATTCGACTGGAATTCGAACTCGGCTCTCCGATTCCTCAGTCCTTTTATATGGCAGTGAGTACTTGATTTTCACACACACAATGTGGAGATTTAAAGCAGCAGAGATGTGGTTCTACAGAAGGCTTCTGAGAATGCCATGGACAGACCACGTGAATGAGCAATGCGAAAGTGTTATGGAAACGAAAAGTTCTTTGTACATAGAATTAGAAAGAGTTGAAATTTCTGTAACACATAAAGAAGAAAGAGGGCTTGAAGTTAAGTCGAATACATTGAAAGTTGTGTCAACGGACGGCAGAATATGGACTGCGAATGGTAGTAAGGAGATAAATATTGCTTAAAGCTACAAAGATAGGAAGTTGTGGATAGCCAGGTTTGCCCACGCCCTGAAGGAATACCGCATAAAAAGATGGCGATATATCTAAAGAAAGACAACTTGTGTTATATAAATAAAGATTAGTGTTTAAAATTTCATATTGAATATATTCGAAGTGAAATTTTAAGTCATGGGAAAAGCAACACCTTTCGCTTTGCAAATATATATATATATAGTGCGTGTGTCTGTTTGAGGCTACAAAAAAATAGGACGTTGTGGAGAGCCGGGATAATCCATGTCCTGAAGAGACATGGCACATAAAGAATTTTCATTTCAGACAAACGTGACATAACTAAAATTATCATATTTGAATCTGTTGTAACTATTTGGTTATTATATATTTTATCCAGTTTTTCATTTTTTCTTTTTTTTCTTTTTTTTTTTTTTTTTTTTCTTTCTTTCTTTTTCTTTCTTTTTTTTCTTTCTTTCTTTCTTTTTTTTTTTTCTTTTTCTTTTCTTTTTTTTTTTTCTTTTTTTTTCTTTCTTTCTTTTTTTCTTTTTTCTTTCTTTTTTTTTTTCTTTTTTTTTCTTTTTTTTCTTTCTTTCTTTCTTTTTTTCTTTCTTTCTTTCTTTTTTCTTTCTTTCTTTTTTTTCTTTCTTTCTTTCTTTTTTCTTTCTTTCTTTCTTTTTTCTTTCTTCTTTCTTTCTTTCTTCTTTCTTTCTTTTTCTTTCTTTCTTTCTTTCTTTCTTTCTTTCTTTCTTCTTTTTATTGACTTGTCCTTGCTTTTTTTTTTTTTTCAGTTATATCCGTTAGCATCTCCCTCTTTTGCAACTGCATTCAGCTAAACAACTCTTTATTTTCGAAACTTTCAGTTATTTCTTCATTCTTCGTATGCTTAATTTAGTTCCTTTCCTCCATTTCCATGCTTGTCAATTCGCAGCCATCAAGCAACACCTAACATGACGACATTTTCTGGTCACGCTATTTAGAAATACGTGTCACACTCGCTTTCCTGAATGTATAACGTGTCATAACACAGGATTAACAAGACTGTCACTCCTAATGTGTGTTACAAGCAATGCGGAATATGTCACGAGTCCATGTAACGCAAGAAGGAAAGTTAGGAAGGCAAAACACCTTAACCCAAATATAAAGAGTCTAAAATATGATATTTTCATATACATTTATGAGTTTGTGCTCAAAATTTATGTCTGAACCTAGTTTAATTAAGAGCTTTGTGTGCCTAGGTTATTATTTCATTTGTTCGTCGCGTAAATTATCGGCGTGTAAAACGAAATCTACGAGTAGAGTAAATGTTCCGGACAATAGGTTGCGTTCACTTTCGCATAAATAGCAAAGGATACGCTTGTTTTCTCTAGTTTTGCGTAGAAACCAATCTAAGAGTAGGAAAATTCTGAATTTCAGACTATGGAGATGAAAAATAGGAAAACACTGTAATTTTGCTAAAAATGTATGACATTTCATCGACAATAAATAAAAGGAAACAGTGGAAAGCTATGACAATCTAATTCCTAAAGAGAATGTCTCTTTAGGAATTAGATGGTCATAGCCCTTGTCAACAAAAACGTTATTATTAGTATCTTTGAGTCGGTTTTGTAAATACATGAATATAATAAGTTATATTTTTGTTAATTTTATTTACGGTTTATATATGAACATATTTTATTGTTTCTTGAGATTATTAACTCGTGCACATGCATAGGCACACACACACACGCGCGCGCACACAGACACATATACATACATAGGGAGGCACGGTGAAGTAAAGGATAACGTCTCGGATTGAAGAATCGGAGAGCCGAGTTCGAATTCCAGTCGAATCCATTACATTCACTTACGTGCTAATATTCTTGGGAAGGGTATAGATCCATTTCTTTTCCCCCCAGCTATGGTTAAATAGCAATACAGACTGGGTTGCTTTGGATGGCAACTGATCAAGGAGAAAGACAACTCTGAATTCAAAATCTGGGCATGGTCGTTTCAGGACCTTGTGGCACACGATGCACCCGGTCTCTGTATTCGCCTCTTCAAAAATGTGGCTGGGTCTGCACAAAACCATCTATAATCAAATGATTTGTGCGGGTGGTCTGGTTGTCCGTTTCTAGGAACTGAGTTGCTTGACACTCATACGTCGAAAACGACGGGAGAGTCCATCATATATATATATATATATATATATATATATATTACGATAAACGTGCAATCAATTTACAAATACATGAATTATTCACACAAAAACTAATGCAAAGGTTAATGATTTAAATGGCGAGACATCCATCATCGCAAACAATTCAAATAATATACAAAAACCTCCGTATCCGTTATGAATGAAATGATCCTTGTTTATATAAATTTCTGCCGTATTAATTCTTATTTTACTACAAGCTTTCGTCTGTTCCTACAGACATCTTCAGGTATAGAATAGATGTTGTTCTTGTTTTTTCTCTTAGTAATAAGAGGACAACGAAAATATATGTATTGTTGTATCCGAAAATGCTATTGAAAATGAGTTATTGTTTTTGGAGCGCGCAAAAGCAACGCTGAGTTTGATTTTAAATTTTTAAAGGTTGTGCGTTCATATAAAATATGGTCCAAAAGTCTTTTTTTTGGATAATAAGTGCGACATTACTGTAATTATTGAACAATATAGTTCATGCCACTTTGACAGAAAAATTTACCAGTAAAAAATTTGTTCATCACCATATTTTATATAAAAATTTAAAATCAAAATTTAAATCATTAACCTTTGCATTAGTTTTTGTGTGAATAATTCATGTATATATATATATATATATATATATATATATATATATATTACTTAGACAAAAGTTTCTTGAGAATGCCTCTATCGAATCTTGCCAGAATGTCAATCTACGCCCTGATATTTTTTCAAATATCTCCTTTCTTAAAAGTTATATACTCTTTTCCCAAGTCAAAAAGATGATTATAAAACTATGAAAAAATTGAAAGAATTAAACCAAAACTTTCTATTATTTAAAATTTTATTTTATTTTTATTTAGTCTTTTACAGATATACTTTTATTTATACCGAATTTTTTTTTTTTTACTATTTTTCATTTAATTCTTTTTTAATATGTGTTTTTAACTATCACTTGTTTGTTTTAAAGATTATTTTAGCAAATACCTGTGGACTTTGGACGAGTTTCAGTATGAAAAGCTCAATAAAGTTATAACTGTGTGTACACTTGTTATTCACACGTGTAAGAAAACTAGTAAGACCTCCTCATTGCTTCATTGTAATGTAAGTCTCCTCTATACGTGTCTGCTGTAAAACAAACTACTTCGAAAATGACACATTGTTTGCTAAGTACTTGTTTATGAGCCAGAAAACGAAACATCGAGTTAAGTCTTTGCTGAGACCATATTAGAAAGTAAGCTGGACGGCTAATTACACGGAGAAATTGTTTCGATTTACCTGTCCAGTCTATTCTTAAAATATTTTTTCTTCTATAAAGTATTCGATAACTACTTAATTTTTCCACTGTCTATTACTTTGGTATAATCAGTATAACTGTGGAAATGTAAGATAAATTGCATCGTACTACCTCCTGTGACCCGTCCTGGGTAAGACGATGAACTACGTCCGACAGCAAGGACTCTGATCAGGAGGTTTTGAGGAGCATGGAACCACCTCTTAATTGCTGGTGTTTCCAGGTCCTCACTGACCCGGGGCCGTAACACCGGTCAGGGTCCCAGCTATGGGCAAATGATTAACGACCCAAAAGGGGTCAAAGCACTATAAAGTGTAAAGATAAGTTTTATTAACAGAAATGATTTTTTGTAAAAAAAATAAAAAAATAAAAAAATACCAGCAATACATTTTTTGAAAAAAATATTACTAGCAATAAAAGTTGTCGACATTAAATAACCCATTGAGGTTGATATGCCGTAAAACAAAACAAAACAAAAGACCCTCCTGTAACTGTTGTCAAAAAACAAAATGTATTTGCTTTGGCATCGATTATCGATTATATTAATGTGGAATGAGGAGAGACAAAAGGAGGGGACACTTTGAGAGAACAGTTTGGTCATCAGTAATCCGGTACTAATTTCCACAAGAGCATTTTCAGATCTCCCGGGTCGCCACAAACACCTGTCTCGTGTTTGGAGGCACTAGCTGCTGCATCAGCTGTTGTTGAGCACTTTCAAACACTGGTAAGACATTTCTACTTGTCTTTTGTGAATTTTTATTATAATCTAATGTCGTTTGACTTCAGTTGTGACTCCATGAATACAGGAAGTACATATCTTTGTGTAAAGTGTGAACACCATACGTTATAAGTGAACAGATCAGGGGTATTTGTGCAAAACATGTATGAATTAAACAATATACTTATTTCTTTATTAATGAATTTAATGATTTACAAGGTAATTTAAAGTGTGCTGAAGTAGTTGACAGACGCATTCCAAAAGATAGGCAGAGTATTACGATACAGGTGGATTTTATTGGTAACAAAAAAAAGAGTACTGAATGGTGACGTGATATCTGTCCTCCTTTGTGACAGCGAATGTTGGATGGTCTCCTCAAAGATGAAGAGACTCGAGGCGCGGAGGTGTGGTTGTACAGAAGGATGCTAAGGATATCATGGAGCAAGCATGTGAGCAATGATAAGGTTTTGGAAAAGATGCAAACAAGGAGGAACCTTACACTTAACCTCAAGAAGAGGCGTTTGAAATTTCTGGGACATGTAATGAGAAAGGACGGCTTGGAGAATCTGATACTAACAGGTCGAATAGAGGGGAGAGAGGAACAAGGGAAAACAACGCATGACATACCTAGCGGGCTTAAGCAAGTAGATGACACGACAGGGCCTGGGGGAGGTAGCAAACGGACAAAACTTATTGAGAGCTAGAAGGGATAGGAGGAAGTGGAGAGCCATGATCGCCTACGCCCTGAAGGGACAGAGAACATAAAAAGAAAGAAAACATCCTAACGAAACCATTAGAAATGTGACAAAATCATTTACACGCCGCATGGAGCAATTCGACGTGGTGTAATGGTTAACAAGCTTGTCACGCTAGAACAATTATGTGAGAGTAGTGAGATACCTACTGGATGCTTCACACTTTTGGCCTTGTACCGCACTTAAGCTACGCTTAGAAAATAATTTGGAAACTTTTACGTTGTGCAATGCTTAGCAAGTTATTCTCGCTAGATCAGTTTCGACTGATTAGTGAGTTCGATCCTCACTGGGTTCTTCCTACTTTCGGACTCATGTTGAATGGCTTATATCTGAGCTATACTTATTAAATTACTATATCCTTTTTAGCACTTCGATGTATCGTAATGGTTAGCAAGCTTATCTCGCTAGAACACGCACGACTGAGTCGTGAATTCGATCCTCACTGGGTGCCTCATTCTTTCGTCGATGTGCCACATCTAAGTTACGCTTAGAATATTACACTACAAGTTTTAATGATGACAGATTCGTAATGGTCAAACTGCATGTGTATTTTTTTATGACAAAACCCCAGGATCAATCTTTTTAACTCGTCAGTTTATGCAAATCCTGTCCACAATACCAGCTATTGAAATCAAGCCAAAGGAGAAGTACCATTCTTCAGTGACAAAACTTCACAGATTTCAAGTGTTGCAGGAACAGTTTCATTATTAGATGTAACAGTTGCTTTCCCATAACCTAATTTGAGGTCGATGAAATAAATGACTTACTCTATAAACACATCTGGCTTAAATACAAAAATATTGCTAATCAATCTAAATTACGGCATCAC